GAGTTTCATTTTTTTTCCCTCGAACGACGGGTCGCACCGGTGCGACCTTTGATTTTTTTTAGTCGCACCATTGAGAAATTAGGTCGCATATGCGACCAAATTGGTCGCACTCTAGAGCCCTGCTATGCTCTCTTCAGAAAATGTGGATAGGTAATCTATCCTAACTAGTTGCAGTATTTCATTTTTTATTTAAAAAAAAATTGTGTTTTTCTTAATAAAGAGTGCAATTTATTTAAAATATCACCCAAATGTGGCACTTTTATTTATTTTATGCAAGAATTCTACTGTGTATTGACAGCTTTTCAAAATAAAGAATATGTAAGTTCCTATTGTTTTGTACCGAACCGAATGAACCGAACTGAACTCTCAAAGACACTGTACCGAACCGAATACGATTGTAGCGTACCGTTACACCCCTAATTAGCAGGTTTCATCCCGATCAGATAGTGTACGGACAGTTTATAACAACTCCCTTAATGACGAAACATCGAAATTCAGATGCCCGCCAAGAACGAACTGTACAATGCAGTCAGAAAAAGGTTCACAATTTAACATTGTAGAGGCCATAAGGTAAGACTGCCATAGTGGTCACATTATATCTCTAGAAGCAGGTTGATAAAGAGTGAAGCATGGAAATGTACTAAATTTTACTTAAAAAAAAAACCCCTCTCCAAATGACTTTTTGTTGGTCTTGGTCCCTTACATAAGTGTTCCAACTTTCAAATATTTCCAACAAACACAGCCTGAAATAGCAGAACAGAAGAAAATGATATATTCTATGTTGCCACTATGTGGCACTATAACCAACACTGTATGTTGCTTTATAGATTTGTTCAGACATGAACGATATACACGGCTAATTCGAACCGACCAGATATTGCGTGGCTGAGATATTAACAACTTCCTGTTTGTAACAATTTTAACTTGCGACAAATGCCGTTCGCACATCGTCAAACAAAGTAAGAAAAGGTGTGTTAATGGGTAAAGTATGACCCAAGCATTTTTCTATGTTTGCCAAAATAGCTAATTTCCTGTCAATTTTGTAAATGCAAGCTGTGTTACTTAAATTTAAGTCTTTGTACCCTACACAGGTGTACCTAAGCTGTATGTCATAAGCTGTTAGGTGGTGATGTAGAGCCGTAATAAACGTTATTTGCAGAAAATGTAATTATACAGAGGAATCCATCTGTTTCTTACTCTTTATAGGAGTTATATTTGCTTGCCCTCATGAGGGACACTACCTGAGGGACTGACTTCTCAGTAGAGGCGCATCTTGTCAGTATTCTCCGTTGACAGTGTCCCAATAGGTTGGAGTCCCTACAGTACCCCCCTCCTCATACACTGATTCAGAAACTGGAGAAACAGCAGCCCAGCATCTGTGCTGCCCCCCGGGGACAAATAAGAGGGTCAGAGCCTACACATGAGTAACTATTCATTCCGTGACATCTGCTGCAGTCAACCACTGAGAACAATGTGATCAGCACAAAATCCTCTCCAGCAAAACCCCACGACTCTATTGTTTCAACACATTTCCTTTCACTCCTCATCTTTGTGTAGTGATCGCCCTCTGCACGGCTGAGAAAGTTCAGCGCAGTTGGCCTTTCTCCACTGCCAGAGTGCCACTCTCTTTAAGCGTCTGGCATTGTGCTCATAACAGCCATCAATCTGAACTCAAGATTCTTCAAAGCCAGGCATTGTTGACTTAAATGATGAGTTATTTTAGGATGGTCGAGGACAGTGTTCCGAGAGAAAACTCAGCTTCAAATTAATTGAACTTTAGAGGTATTTCTTCACAGGGCATTTAAAAAATAGTAACAGCACTCCACGTACATTGGTTATTACACAATAACCAATCATTGCAATATGAAAATTCAATTTGAAATGCATGCATATTTGCAAAAAATGAAAAAAAAATTTTTAGGTGTTACATTTCACTCGTGTACCCCTATCCTTTATCCCTTCACCTACTCCTTCCTCTTCTAAGATCAAGGGTTGAGAATATACTCCGACCGCATACAACAGCAAAAAGGTTCTGAAGGACGAGCAAATGCATTACTATTGCTGGGTTTTAAAATTTTGAACATTTAAACATTAAATTGAAAATTTGTTAAGTCATATCCGAGTCTATTGTGTAATTATACAAAACAATGATGCATTATTCCTATAAAATGACCAATTTTTGTGATTTCAATTACTTTTAATGACCTATTTATGGAAATGGGACATGAAATCCACATAAAACGATGGTTTTAAAACTTATAAGTGACAAAATTACCTCCCTTTCTGTGTCTCTTTGGTTGAGCTGATGGCTATGTTCACGTAAGCAACAAATATATGAGCAACGCATTACCCGGGAAATCCATCATAGCCTTCTGTCCGGACCTCGCTAATGCCCCTATAGTCTTGACAATTTGCCTCAAAAGAGAATTGGGACACCTCTTAGCCTCACTTGACTCTTATGTGTTGTCAGGGATGTTTTCAGCCACTTCAGGGTAATTTTGGATTTTTTTTTTAAATCGATTTTAGGAAATTTGGCAAAAACTTTTTCTCTGCTTCAAATTGAATGATTTTTGGTGACAAATCTTATTTTGACACATATTTTAAGAAGATATCTATTTTTTTTTTTATTCAAAAATGTACTGGCAAATAAAATACCCTTTGCTGTTAACAACCACTAAATTAAACTACCTTAAAAATCTATCAGATCAAAAAAAAAAAAACAAAAAAAAAAACAGGTTTTGTACCCGTCAATTGGCAAGGTACTACACGATGTCACTGATTTTCAAAACAAAATAGAAACTGACTTATTTTCAATATCACAAAGGATTGTGGCCTGGATTTTTTTTACCTTTCATCACAGTCTTGAACATGTCATTGGCAATGATGGATTCTTAGTTTTTTTTGTGTTGCGCCAGAGTTTTCTTTTAAAGCTGATTGTATATAAAGAGATATAAAAAAAAGAAAAATAATAATAATAAAAAATATCTGATAGATTTTTACAGCAGTTTAGTTTAGTGGCGGTTAAACAACATGAAAGGGTACTGAATTTGATCAGATGCACATGGGTTAAAATGTGCAAAATGGAGATGGGACAGAATTAAGGAACGATCGCCCCAGTCTGAAGATAAACTTACATCCTGGGTGTATCCTGGCTGCATGTATTGTTCCCCCATTCTAATCCAGACCCTTCCACTTCAAACAATCGCATGATGCTACCACCCCCATGCTTCACAGATGGAGATGCTATTGGTCAGGTCTTTGTACTGGTTTTCACACGTGATTGGTGAAGTTTTGCTAAGATGGTTTCCCTTTTGGTTGGAGGTCCCTGACTAATGTCTTCCCAGATCACCTTCAGGCCCAGAATTAGGGAAAAGTCTGTCTACTTGTTCACTTGCAGATGATGGCAGCTATTGTACTCAGGGGGATCTATAAACAAAACCATCATGCATGGTTTATGTGCTTATATCAATTGCACAGCTTTTTTTCACAACACAGATGTGTTCCTCTGTAAAATAGAGTTTGATAATCATTTTTAGGAGCTCCGCCCAAATCATATCTTATAAACACATGAATTGAAACCAAGGGGACTCCATTTAAGCTGTAAACAGGCGAAGAGTTATACACTTAAGGATGGTCAGTTGAAACAAAATGCAGATCACAATCACAAGAATGAAATTTGAAGAAAAGAAATCATTGCAGCACTGGAAATACCGTCCAGAAACGGTAAACAAACGTGTAGCTGAAACTGTTGGAGATGTTCATATGCAGATTGTGTTCATGGGGAGCAAGCTTAAAGCTGCAATAACATTTTGCATTAAATCATGAAGTTGCCCGGCTCTTTTTCTCTCTTTGTGCGCAATTAGCTTTGATTTCATTATTTATTACCCGAGAAAAACAAGCCCTTTACTACAAATTTACAGTGCTAGGATTAGGAAGCACGCTTTAATCTCACGCCTGCGATAATGCCGCATGGCCTGATTGATTAGTTTTCAGGAAGCTTATGTCAGAAAAACTAATCCGTTTTTGGATTGTGCCAGACTGGGAAGGTTCTCCGCTTTGGTGCTGTATCATGGAGACGAATTACAGAGCTGCTGGGCTGTGATAAGGCCCTCGTCTCTTTCACACAGCCGTCCCTCTGGACAATAAAAATGCTGTTTATATTCTTCAGAACCTGCTGCCGCCGAGTCTTCACATCAAGGCCTTGCAGACTATGCCATGTGAGGAGAGAATGTACATCAGGTTTTTAGAATTGGGCCGAAGAGAACGAATTGAGAGGAAAAATAGTGCCAGAATAGAATCCTGAAATGCGTTTGTGGGTCTGGTAACCCAGAAATTGTGGTGAATTGGTGTGAGAGAGATTACGTGAGGATTTAGACGAGTGTCTGTAAATATGAGAGCTTCACTGCAGATTGCCGCTATCAGTGCAGGATTGGTCAACCAGTGATGTGTATCTGTGTCTATATTGAGGTCATTGTTGTTTTCCAGAAGCCAGGCCCTGATAATCTCTCTTACAAAAAGTTCTCGGTGACATTTACCATTTCAAAACACATGTTTGTGAATTGTATTTGGAAAATACAAGACAAATCCATCAGAAGAGCGATGGGCCTCCATACAATACTTTAGTCATTTTTATATTTCATCATTTTAATAGTTAATATTTTAATTATTCCTGATAAATATTTACATGTTGATTTAAAAAAGATCCAATTGGATTTAAAGTATTACTAATCGATAAAGTCTTATTTTTAATCTATTTGGAAAAATCTTTGTGCCAAAAAACAAATAAAAGTTTTATGAAGACATAAAATTAATGAAATGCTTCGTCTTCAAATAAACTCTCTTAACTTTCAATGTTCACAGTTTGGAAAAGTTTTTATGTACGATTTGAAAAGTTGTGTTAATCTTTCTGGCATGAATCTCTCGTAAAGGTAAACCTAATGGCAGTTCACTCTGTTATTCAAATATTAATCATATCCCAATACAGACGACTCTGGAAGCAAGGCAGTATAGTCTAGTGGACAAGGTGATTGACTGGAGACCAAAAGGTTGCTGGTTAGATCCCCAGCTCCACTGGCAGTCGAAGGTGGGATGAGTGTTGAAACTCTCTCCCTACTGAGACAACTGCTCCGGGGGTGTATTCACAGTGTGTTTATTCACTGCTATTTATTCACTACTTGGATGGGTTAAATGCAGAGCACAAATTCCTTGTATGGGTCACTCCATACTTGGTTCTAATGTCACTTTCACTTTATGAAGATTTAACAGAAAACAATGAAGATACCAATAGCTAAATACAACACTGCATTGAGGAAATTTTTCAAGGGCAATTCAATTCTGCGCTCAGTGAAAGTAAAATCTGCAAAAATAACTTTTCTGTTCGTTTTAAAGCCCTGTGATGGACTGGCGACCTGTCCAGGGGGTACCCCCACCTCTCACCCAATGTGTGCTGGATATAAGCTCAGGCAAACCCTGTGACCCTAAAAAAGGGAATAAGCGGGTTGGAAAATGAAAGAATGAATGTTCGTTTTACATTTTTTCAGATAAGTTTTGTTCATTTTTTAAATACCTTTATTTTTGCAAAAGTTGCATTATTTGATTTTTGATAGAGTTACATTCTGCATTACGCAATATTTTGTGCAAACTGTGAAATTTGGAAGTACTACTTCAAGTTATTGCTATGAAGTGATGCTTTAATGGCCTACTGAACTCAAGAGTTTAATAATTCAATATCAAAAATGTGTATAACAGAGCAGATAATTTATGTTAATGTCATCTGTCTAGGTTCTGACTGGTATTTCATTTTATAAGTTCTGGCAGCATCATCCATTACTTGAGATGTAAAATCAATGCTTTTCCTCTTCTGTGCTCGAGAGTGTTATTTCAGCGGGTTTCAGTGCAAAAGGACAGACCAGTATGTTTCGACTGTGTGTGTCATGATAGATGTGTGCTGTCTCTGTGACCCGGTGTCTATGTCGGGACAGGCGCTGGGTTTCTGGGTTATTTATGAGTGTGCTCATGCACTTAACAACATGTAGTTATTTATTTACTCCACAAATTTTTCACGGTTTTAAAAATCTATCAGAATCGTCGATATGCCCGTTAAGTTTGGTGTAAAGATGTAGTAATAGTGATACACTAAACAAACATGTACATTTTTTAAACCAATTTAGTTGTATTATCGGGGTGTAACGGTACGTTAAAATCGTATTCGGTTCGGTACAGTGTCTTGGAGAGTTCGGTTCGGTTCATTCGGTTCAGTACAAAACAATAAGAACTTACAAAATCTTTATTTTGAAAAGCTGCTAATACACAATAGAATTCTTGCATAAAATAAATAAAAGTGACACATTTGGGTGATATTTTAAATAAATTGCACTCTATAAAGAAATACACATTTTTAAAATAAAAAATGAAATACTGCAACTAGTTAGGACCTGAAAACTTTTAACACTAGCAACAGCTTCAGTTTATATATCAACAAAACTAACTATTCAAGTTTTTGGCTAAAAAGATGAACCTATCCACATTTTCTGAAGAGAGCACAGATCTGGTTGCAGTGACAATATCTCCAGCAGTAGAAAATGTGTTGCCTGCCACATACTCGATCTCCGTGGAACAATGTCGGCATACAACTTTAAATTTATCCACTCGTCTATCCCCGTTATGTATTTTAACAGAGAAGCCAAAGTGTTCTCAAACAGGAGACTGTAGTGAGGTGGGAGGGTTTTCAAGCTCTGGCTTCTCTTTCGCTGTTGCCATTTCTCACAGTTAATCGTGCAGCTCTACTGTGCGTCACTCAATAGCGTCCGTGTGGAAACTCGCCTAGGAACATTGTTCCGCTGCGCTTAATGTCGCGCTAATAATAAATTTATATTATTTAATAAAAAAAATATACCGAAACGGTACGCAAGTGTACCGAACCGAACAGGCCGCACCTAAACGGTTCAATACATCCCCGTGAACTGTTACACCCCTATTGTATTATAAGTATTTATAAAGATTTTAATGATTTGTTGTTGCTTAAAATAAAAAACAAGCAAAATAAAATGACTACGGTTAAATAATTGAGGTCACTTGTGCTGTGTTTCTTCTTGGTCTCTGTGAGTTACATCCAATATTTAACTCCTGTGTTGCTCCTGTTCTCCTGAGCCAGACGACTCCTCAGTGTGTTGTTCTTATTGAAGCCCAATCTCCTACGTCGGTCGCAAGCTTGTGATAAGCGCCCCATGGCTGCCCCATCAGCTTTCTCCTTGAGTGACCTGTACACAGTCCAGATCCAGGACTTCAATGACCACAGCTCCTCTAGTGACAACAGTTTCTACTTCCATGTCTCCTTGTCCTAAGGAATCCAAGCCTTCACTGGGATTGAGGGGTTTGATGGATACATTTGTGATCACTAGGTGGCGTTACTTTGTAATCAAATTCCTGCTCCCGACGTACCCAAAAAGAACTACTACTCCCATCACTCACAGTCGTCAAGGTCAGGTCATTGAGGTTACTTCGACTTCCACTGCCCCTTTCCCAGCTTCGTTTATCTCTGTGAGTTGTATCCTATATCTTAGTCCCGTTTTTCTCCTGTTCTCCTGAGCCAGATGACTCCTACTTGTGTTGTTCCTGTTGAAGTGCAATCTCCTCCATTGGTCGCAAGCTTGTGACAAGCGCCACTGATTGCACCTGTGCCGGTGCACCCAATCGCCCAATCGCTTACGGCAGATGGATCAAGCACCCCATCGGAAACTAACCCCTGTGCAATACTTTCCTTTGAACTTACCTGCTCCATAAGATCCTGTTTCCCTACTCGGGTTGAAATGCTCCCTGAACTCTGAACTATCACCTGTTGTTGTATGTCGACCTTCATATTGTTATAAATAAACCCATTTACCTTCCTTCAGTGTCCTGTCCTGCTATGTACAGTCACTCCGCAAACCGGGTCGATACCAAAATCCCCATGGATGCCCCAGATGTCAAGATCCAGGACCTCAGTGATCACAGCTCCTCTAGTGACGAGAGTTTCTACTCCTGTGTCTTTCCATCCCAAGGAGCTCAAGCCTACTTCAGGGTCTCGTGGTTTAGTGGATACTTTGGTGGCGTTTGTCTGTCTCTCACCCAGTTTTAAGCCGCCTACACAACTGGGTTTTAATTCTTAAAAGGCTCTCCAAGCATAGGTGCTGTTTTGAATTACATAAGAATGGTGCAACCCAGCTATTGTTTAATTTTGATTTTAAAATGGTTATTAGCTATTTTTGGTGTTAAATGAAAATCACAAGAGTTCTTATACAAAATTTGCAAGCTAAATCAAATCAAGTTTCATTTTACAGACTCCAAATAGATAACCCTAGGAGGTACAAGACTTGTGATATGGCATGTGTTTGAAACAGTGATTGGAACGGTGTTGAAGGTTTAGGAAAGGTCTCGGGTTTCTTTTTATAACATTTTCACATTGTTTTGACCTTGTCTTGTTTTTGAGGGATTTAGACATTTTTATTTTGTCTCAACATTTTTGATATTCGTTATGAAAAAAAAACTGTTAGTTCTCAGTTTTGGAAATCTTTGCAGTGAAAAAAATGTCAATTTATTACTTAAATCTGTGTTTTGTTGTGTTGTGGAATTAATGTGTAATGCAATGAAAAATATTAGTAACAAAAAACAAAGATGCTGGGGTTGAACTAAAAAATAATTTCAAGCATTGCCACAAAAAACATTTTATAGTAATTTATTAAGGCTATAAATTTACCACTTTTATTATGTAAAGTGGTAAAAAAAATGCCCAAAAGGCCCCAGACTTCTAAGGATTAATCTACACGTGACAATCGTAACTTGTTGGTTTGTTCATTACAACTGGTTGATCAAACACCAGACAATAGCCTACAAATAAGTTTGTGCAAGTGTTCCTATGAGAATAAATTGAAAGGGGTCAAATGAGGTAAACTACAGAAAACGCAAGTTCTAAAGTGTTTCAATTAAGGAGTTTAAAGGCCTCTGCATGCATTCAGGCACACCTCCCCAAGAATCGTTCTCCCTAAGTGTTGTGTTTGTGATCATAGCTGTTAGTCGTGCTGTCAAACACATTTGCTGTTACAGAAATCAGACAGATGTGTATAATAGGACTGAAGAGGTGTTGATGGGATGATAGTTACACATGCTGAGTGCAGAACAAAGACCTGACAGGTCTTAAAGGTGATGAGATCAAGACTGTGCTCTGTCAGTACTGCTTTTGTTAACAGCTTACGATCTATTACAAATTAAAACACAATTGCACCTCTGACTCCATTTTTAAGTCATTACTTGATGCTTTTTCGCAAGTTTGTCAGCACCTTGAGCCCACAGTTGTGAAATATATTTATCAGATGTGTGTCTGGTAAGTTACATATATTTAAAGTAGTTAACACTCAGTGGACTCTGGGTTGACATGTTTTTGCGGTTTTTAATTTTAGAAAAAGGTATATTGCTCATTAATAAACACTTTAATAACAATTAACATCCATCACCAAGAACTGTTGCTACTCACAAAGGGTACTCAGAATATTGCAAAAAATAAAGAAACACACTGAGAACTAGATGCAGAATTGAGCCGTGGCAGAAATGCAGAGTAATTAAAACTGCAAGAAGCGGTTAAAGGGCTCAAGCACCTCTGGCGCCTTTTTCTTCTCTTCGCAGTACGACCAGTCCTAATTTAGGAGATGTGTTCAAGGGAGAATTGTTTAAAAAAATGAAAAATACAAGCACATTATATCATAAAAACAACATCATCAAGTGTCATGACCCCCAGGTGGCGCTGTGAATGAGTATGAATATTTTCTGTTCTTTATGCCAATATATGTTTATGTCACTTCCTGATAAACTGGTGCCAAATATCAAAAAATTGAAGTTGTTTTAAGAGAAGGCCTTTTTTATGTAAATTTTAACTAGAACTTAGAACACGTCGACAAACGCAATGTGTGCATTACGCAAACTGCTCTTTGGGAACGCAGCCGGTCAAGACCAAAACAACATTTCAGATGTGGTACAATAAAAAAGTCCGCTGGTTTGTTTATTAATGCCATCCCATTATACCCTAGAAGTAAAATCACATGCCT